GTTCCAAGTTGCAACAAATACTCAAAGTAATTTTCTTTTTTTGTTTTAAAAGATTTTATGTTTGTTTTGACTTATGCATTTAGCTAAAATAAAAATTTCTCCTTAAGAAGTCCTTTGACTGCTTTCAAAAAAGTTTGAAGGATTTTTTAGATTCTGAATCGTATTCAGAATCAAAATACCGTACTAGCTCTTCATTCGTTAGCACCATACAAAAATGAATGGCATTCACCCTAATAAACTTTTTAAATTTTAATAAATTTATTTTTAGACTTTTAATAACTCCTTTTGAGTTTTTCTTGTTTCCAACTAAACTGAACTAACTAAACTAGAACTCTCAAATTGAAGGCTAAAAATTTAAATTTTGGGCAGTGTAATACAACTTTTAATTAGCTTAATAAATTGTAAATAGCTTAATAAAAACTAAATTTTGCCTATCTATTAAAACTTTGGGACTATATACTGCTTGAATGTATTCTCTGCAAAACTATGGGACTATTTACTGCTTGAATATATTCAACAATTCTTTTTGCTAAGATTATTCGTTCTTGTGTATAATGCAAAAAATTTACACTGCTGTTGTTAGCCACCTTGTTGCTAGCCGCTTTGTATGAAAAATAGGCTCTTTTATTATAATTACTTATAAATAAAAATAACATAGTTGTTATGATTATAAATGATTAAGATAAAATGGCTATTGAATAAATACAAATTTACAAAAACTTCAAACAAACTAAATAATAGTACAACTTGTAAAAAAAAAAACTTTCAACCAATGCCGGAGTAAAACATGCGTATGTTAATAAGACCCTATTTTTGAAGTGGTCGGGCGCTTTTTTGGATTCTCTATATCACTAGTGCAAGGGCTTAAAAATGTATAATTTTTCCAGCTTTTTAATACGTAAAGTAACCTGACTGAGCGGAATAAGAATGTTCACATATTAATCTATTTTTGTAGTTAGCTTTATCTTTCAGATGTAACAGATTATGTATATAATCTGTTTTTGTAGTTGACTTAATGACTTCCAGTTTGTTTTCGTCAAATGTATTTTTTTACTTTTAACTTCTTACTCTAATATACATAGTCTTTTTTAAAACCTCCTGAACGAATTGTTTTTTTTTTTTTTAATTGATAAAGAGGCTGAACTTATCTTATGAGCATAATATAAGTTATGAATATAAATTAAACAACTTTTGCTGCTTGAAAAACTTTTTAAATGAAAAAAGTAAACTAAACAAAAAAAAAACTGCACTGTTATTTTTTTTGACTTAATTCAATTTTTTAATATGTCAATCAGACCCAGTATTGTAAAAGAATTTGAAAGAAGTGTAAAGCTGCTGGATTACTATAAAAGAAGTTCCGGATCAAAGTGTTGCAGACAAAGATTTTGAAAAATACAAAAAAGCAGAGATGTACGGTCTCGAAACCAAAGTCTTGGTCTCAAGACGCCTCGAGAATCATATTTAACTGTCTTGATCTTGTTATTGGTCTTGAAACCTAAAGTCTTGGTCTCATTCTTGGTCTTGAAAGCTTAGAGTATTGTATACTCAATGAATGGATTAGTTATTAATAACAAACCGTAGATCGTCGCAACTTCCCACTCTCAATGAGAGTTCGACAAGGTTCTAACTGAAATTAGTTAGGAAAATTTAAATTAGTTAGGAGATTTTAAAATTAGTTAGGAGAATTTAAAATTAGTAAGGAGAATTTTTAAAAGATTTTTTAATTTCTTTTTTAATGAAATTTATTTTAAAAATGAAAAAAATTGATCAAGACTAAAAACCTAAGTGTTGATACCGGTCTTGTAAAAACTTTCAAAGTCTTGGTCTTGTTCTTGCGTTAATTTTTTGATGTCTTGGTCTTGGCCTTGAAGCATTTAGTCTTCGTCTTGGTTTTGAGCCTAAATGTCTTAGTTTTTGTCTTGGTCTTGGCCTTTACTGTCTCGACTACATCTCTGCAAAAAAGTGACAAAACATATTTACTGAAATTCAAAAAATACTGAAATTTAAAAAAATACTTATAGGTACTGAAATTCAAAAAAATACTTGTTCATTTACCATCCACTGGAAAAATATTTTGTTTCTTCTGCTGCTTATGGCAACTTCATAACTGAATTCGATGACTGGTCATATTGACAACATTTTATGCATAGACCTGAACATAGCAAACAACTCACTGAGTCTAGTGCTATTTTAGAAAAGTTAAGATAAAAGAAAAAATTGATGCTCAATTAAAAAAGCAATTGCTGGATAAAATAGATGAGGGATTTTCTAAGAAAAGTTGAAAACTTGAAGTTTTTGGGTAGCCTAGATTTAGCTCTTAGTTGACTTAGAAAGATACCTTCAGAAATTGAAAATTTCTCGGAGTCTTGGAGTTTCTTTCAAAATTCAACTTATTTGGTGCCTAACTCTTAGAAAACTGAGAAAATCTGGGCAGAGAAAATTTTTCATACATTTCATTGATAATTTATGAGGAAATTGTTTGATTTTTTTGTTTGATTATTTTGTTTTTATGACAAAAAATGCTCTGCAACCCTTTGGTAGCAATGCGCCCAAATCATAATACTTTTTACTGATTGCTGGCTAGTTATCTGACACTGCTCACTTCAACTCACTTGCAATAATCATTCAATGTGTGAGCGAGAAAGCTGTTGTTGAAAAAAAGTTTTTTACGTTTGAGTTTTCTTATGGACATATTGGAATGGCTGTGACAGATGCACTCAAGAAAAGATTAAAAAGCTTGTAGTCCTATGACAATTCATTTAACATGAAAATACAACAACCTGCAAGCACAACTGAAAAATGAGAACACAAACATTAATTTTATTTCTTGAGCTGTACATTGTTTAAATTTATTTGACGTAAATAACAGCTGTGAAATGACTGTAAATGACGTAAATAACAACTGTGAAATGACTGTAAATGACGTAAATAACAGCTGTGAAATGACGGTAAATGACGTAAATAACAACTGTATTTAATTTTTTTGAGTTTCTTTAATGTCTGTATAATTGCTGTGCTTTTTTGACTCAAGATGGCAAATAATTTGTCTTGCAAAAGAAGATGATCAGCAGAAGCTATTTCTATTCAAATTCTACATGCAAATTACAGCCACATTCTAGAGACCCTAGAATCAATTGTTCTAGATAAAGATGAAAAATGTCAGACACAAAATAAAGTTAATTTTTGAAGAAAATCTTTTTTTTGTATCTTTTATAAACATGATTCTGTTTTATTTAACTAAAATTCTAACTTTTATGAAAGCCAATTGTTTGAAGTGTTAAAATCCAGGAATTTCAGGTGCCTAACATATATACTTTTATTTTAATTATAAAAAGATGTTTCATAAATTTTATCAACATTTTTACGAAATATGTTTGTTAGGCACTAGCAATTTATGGAAATTTTTGTAAAAATTAAAAATTACAAAAAATTAAAAATGAATTTTTAATAAAACCATAGTAATTTTATGATGAAAGTAATATTGTTTTTTTTGTTGTTGTTTTTTTTATTTAAAAATATTTTTTTTTAAAAAAACATTTTTAATTTTTTGACAATATATATTTAAAAGTATAATGCCTAATCAATGGTGCAATCAAAAATTAGTAACCTACAGAGTTAAAAATTCAAAGTTATGACGAACATGAGAATACTATTTTGTTTTTAAGCTTTTATATTTATATATTTTTTTTCTTATTTGGTATTCTGTGCAAAGTCGCACGTTTTAACAAAATGAAGGTAACATTCATCAAAGATGATACATCAAAAATGATACATCAAGAATAAAGATTAAAAGGTCATGCTTCTTCTAATTCTGCTTAAGATTTAAAACACAAACAAATTTGTGTTTAAAAGTTTCTTCAAGATTTTTATAGAATAAAATATTTTAATATATGTGGATTGTGCTAATTTAGACTTTCTTGCTATTTGTGTAAGTTTAAACCATGTACTCTGGTAATGTATATTTAACTCATGGAATTTAGTAATGGCGTATAAAAATACTTAGTAGTATGCTGTTTAATGTAGTAAAAAAAATGGCGTAAACATTAATTTTCCTGTTTTTGCATTGGATATTAACACATTTAAGTTATTTTAAAATTATTATTTAAAATTTAAAGCATTTAAAGGAAAATTAGCATTTAAAACATTTAAATGTCAACTATTTACTAAGTTGAAAAGAATTTCGAAAACGAGGAAATAGGTGAATAAAGATTAAGATAAAAAAAAAATTTAATTTCTTTTTCTTCTTTCCTAATATTTTTACATTTTTTCTTTTTTCTATTTCATTACTTGCTTTAATATTACTTATTCTCCATATTTTACTTGTTACGAACCAATACAAACACTTTCTAACATTTTATATCAAGTAAAACTTACAGATAATATTATTTATACCAGTAAAACTTACGGGTAATATCATTTTCTCGTTTTTTGTAAGATACTTCTAGAAGGTCTAATGGTCACCTCTCAGAGTATATTTAATGAAATAACGCTCAATGATAAAAAATTTCTAGTTTATTATTTTAAGGAACCTGGTTCCAAAGAAGAACATTGGGTTAATCTACAGTAAGCATGGAGGGAAATTGAACAACCTAGTACAAAAGCTCTTGTTGATTCCATGCCAAGACGTATAAAGGCAGTGGTTGCAGTTCATGGGGGGCCTACAAAATATTGACATTGTTATGCAAAAAAATATAAACTAATATCACTTAACTAATTTAATGAATTATTTAATTTAATTTTGTAACTCAAAAATGATTAAAAACTGTTGTTTTTATCTTCATTTTTTTGCTGTTTCAGAAATTTTATATATATAAATATATATAAATATATATATATATATATATATATATATATATATATATATATATATATATATATATATATATATATATATATATATATATATATATATATATATATATATATATATATATATATATATATATTACTAGTAACCAAAGTTACATTGCTAATCCTGGAAGGAAACATACGATTACGATATTTTATACTATTTTTAATTTAGTCATATACAAAAAATTTAGTTATGAACGTTCCTTTGTTTTTGGTTTTGTTGGTTATTTGTTCTACAACATGTAATAAATATACTAAAGAAGAACGTTGCTCAAAAAATCAATCGGATGGAGTTTGTGAAAAAGCAAGCGAGTTTGAGGAAGACGACGATGAACCTTTCTTTTATGAAATAGACGAGAAATTAGCCGGAAGAGAAAAACTGTTTAAATGGGATCCAATTCGTGTAACTAATTTACCTTCATAAATGTTGAAAAAGAACAGTAATGCTCTTTTGGACTAACTCAAATCATAACTATTTATTTTTACTAAATCCAGAAACAAATTTATTTTAGAAAGGCTATGAACGAGAAATTGACTTAGGTGGCGGGGAAGTAGTAAAGATGGTCACTCAAGCAATTAAGCCAACTGTGTTCAGTAAGTTTTTTTTATGCAACTGATTGACTGCGAAATAAACTGCATCAAAACAATTCTCTCAATTTTTGACCTTATTTTTTTAGTCATAGATAACTTTTTAACAATGGAGGAATGCGATTACATTATTGACAAATCTCTTCATTTTGGACTGTCTAGTAGTGGTCTTCATGTTGATGATAAAATTAAGTTATCCAAAGAGTATACATACGGTAACTTATTTTCAGTCAAAATAAATAGATAAAAATAAAAGTTTTCAAAATAGTTTATATTTAATTTATACTTGGATTCTATAATTAGCATTTATAGAAATAAAATATAATTTAAATATAAATTATATTTAATTTTTTTTTTAAAATCACTGCTTAGGAGTTTGTTTTTTCTTGTCATATTTTTTTGGTCGGTTGATAGAAATTTGATTTACTATAACAGCGCGTTGTTTTATTCATTTATAAAACTCATTCATTATTTACTGTTTTGTACAATAGTCATACCAGTGGCAGATTGAGGTTTAGCGTAGTGGGAGGAAGGAGGGATAGGGCCTTGGGATTGAGTAGGGGGCGGGAGGGGTTGAGGGTGGCACATTAACTTCTAGGAAATTTTTTTTTTTTTTTGAGAAACGCACTTGTGATAAATAAATTTTATCGGTGAGTTTATGTGCCTTTTATCATAACTATTAAGTAGGTCTAAAATACTAAACAATCTAAAATTTGAGTTTGCTAAGTTTACTTTAGTTAACAATTATCGTTAAAAAAACAACAAAACATTTAGTATTATTGCAATGGTTTGGTTATATAAAAATATATTTACGCTATACATATTACTGGAAACAAGTAATATGGATAGTGTAATATATTCATTTGTAGTTCAGTCGTCGTTATTGGAGATATTAACGCATAGACTTTGAAAGTAGGGCCAGCGCGAGTAGATTTCAAATGAGATGCGGGTGTAATTTTAAAAAAAATTTTAACATCATAAGATCAGATGCTCCACAAAGTTGAAATCAGTTAACATACTTTTTTGTTTTCTTAAAAAAAAAAGGTTGAACTATGTTAAAAATGCATTGACAGTGTACATTATGATTATAAAAATATTTTCTTAAAACAAAACGCCTCTGTTTTGTTTTCTGTCATAATTGCGGGCAAATTTGTAAAGTAGATATGTAAACAATGATTTGTTATTACCTAGTTTTCTATTTCCGTTTAAAATAAACGCAGAACTTTGTAATAAGAAATTTATATTTTAGGGGGCGCCAGTTACCGGTTAACGGAGCGCGGGTGGATAGCTCCCCGCCTCCTTACGCCCTATGCTGAACAAATTTTTGAACAAATTTATGCTTTTTTAGGTTTAAAAATATGAAAAGATCTTAATAAATCTCAAAAAGTATATGAAGTCGTAATATATACATATACATATACATATATATATATATATATATATATATATATATATATATATATATATATATATATATATATATATATATATATATATATATATATATATATATATATATATATATATATATATATATATATATATATATATATATATATATATATATATATATACATATATATATATATATATATATATATATATATATATATATATATATATATATATATATATATATATATATATATATATATATATATATTCATTAAAAAAAACTTGATATTTATACAAAAACCTGGATAAATGAAAAATTAAAAAAAACAAACTTTTTTTCAAACAAGAAAAATTAAAACAGTATGATAAGTTTTAATTAGTAAATAAATAACTCATTTTTATTCATTTTGTTTATAATTGTTATTTTTTGTTCCTTTCTTTGAGCTGTTCAAATGGTTTCCTTTTTTATTATTTTTTTTTTTACAATGCTCAACAAATTATCCAGTTAAGCATTACTGTGAGGAATATAATTCCTAAGGTATCTGATTTTTGATAATATTTGAGATTGATAAAATTCGAAAGAAAAGATTTTTGATAAAATTTGAGATAAATCTATGTTTCACCACAGAATCAACATTTTATGGTACCATATTTCATTAACTATTATTTCAAATACTTTTGTTGAACGTTTTAAATTGCAACCAAAATTAGCTGAAATTATCTTTATTCAATAATAATAAAGCCTCTTCAAAAGTATTATCATCAAAATCATCGTCCTAACCAGGTAATCTGCGCACCGTGTTAAGCTAAGTTTGCTCTTATATTTTTGCTTTGTCGCTATTTTTAAAAAATCGGATTTGATTTATAATATAACCAAACCCATATTAAAGCTAAAATAAAATAAAAAAATATTTATATGTTGGTGCATGTTTTATGATATATCTTGAGCATTTAATATTCATTAGTTCTTAATGTAATGACAACCTTTTTCCGAATATATATTGCTATTGTTTTGAGCTAAAATATTGAGAGTAATTTAAAAAAAAATTTCTTCTGAAAATTTTTGAAAACTTATCGTGAGAATTTTAGGTCATCCGTGAAACCATGAGACTCGTTATCAAACCGCAAGTCTCACAGAGAGTTGGAAGTTCTGTAGATGTCCCAAAAAAATCAAAAATTGAAATTTTTTTTTGTATTTTGAAGCATCATATACTTATTCTCAGGCATTATGGATCTAAAATTATTATTCAAATTTTTTATATCAGAACATGAAGCTCATTAAAATGAACATCTGGACAAACACAGCTTTTGCAATGTTTTCCAAAAAATAAAAGTTAGCACAACAGCAACAAAATGTTAATTAAATTTTATATATTGTACGGCCGTGGCGCAGTGGTTAGAGCGCTTGCTTTAGAAGCAGGAGTTCCAGGTTCAAAAAAAACGAACTCTGGATCGCGTCACGGTAAGGAAGGAGGCGTGAACTTCCTGGTTAAATGCACTTCCGCGGTGCTTTGTGACAAGACCGTAAGGACTTCTTGGGGCACCTAAATAACAAATAAAAATAATAAATGGATTCATAAATATATATATATATATATATATATATATATATATATATATATATATATATATATATATATATATATATATATATATATATATATATATATATATATATATATATATATATATATATATATATATATTATATATATATATATATATATATATATATATATATATATATATATATATATATATATATATATGTATATATATATATATATATATATATATATATATATATATATTGAATATACAAATATGTTTACATATAAACACAGATTAAAAACATTTCATTAAAGTTACCCCACAAATGGGGTAACTTTGAATACATTTTCTGTAAAAACTTTCTTCAAATATTATTTCATAGCAAACACCCATTTGGTTTTTTTGTTTTTGTTTTAATGGATATATTCTAAGAGGCCATAAAAAGAGTCTCATTCTATATCAGTTTCTCTAACAGAAAACAATGCAAGTGAAACATCTTTACATTTTGCCAAAAAATCCTCAAAAAAAAAAAAAACTATTTTCAAGATCAAAAGTAATTTTTTTTTTCCATTTGAGTCTTATTTTTCCTTGACACCAGCAAAACACAATTGTTAAAGTACTTTAACTACTGCTTGGTGACTACAGATTTAATGTGTTATTACCATCTCACGACGTTAGAATTATCTTGTTCTATCTCCACTTTCTGAAAAAATTGAGTTTATGATAGTGTTGTGTTCCTTAAAATAATTTCTTTCTACTGAAATCTAAGTTGTAAGTAAAAAAGTTGCGAAAAAAACGTAAGTTATAAAAGAAATTTATACACCGTCTCCTAAAGTTTTTGTTATATACAAATTAATATTTTATTTAGTTAATTCAAGTTTTTCATTGAAAAGATTGCTTAGACTATAACTTTTAGGAACTTTAGTTTCTGCAATTTGAAAAAAGAAACAACAAACCAGTCAAAAAAACAAATAGAATCAAACCGTCCTGACTTTAATTCTATTTTACATAAGGTGGTCTGTGTTAAAAGTAACCTCGGTTTAAGGTACTGTTCTCTCTCTATATATGTAAAAATTCGGGATCTTAAACCAGAAAAACAAGTAAATAAAGCTGCGTCAGCTGCAAATAAAATTCTAGTTCTATTGAAAAATATTTTTGTATTGCAAGAGCCAACACTATGGAAGAACTTTATATAACATATATCAGACCACATTTGAAATACTCAGTATACACTTGTTCACCATCAACCAAAAAGGATTCAAAAACACTTTAAAAAGTTCAGCAACAAGCCACCTTTTTTAATAAAATGTCCTGAAACAATTCCTAAACTGTAAAGAAATCTATCATAACAGTTTCGTCATTATTAAACTGTATGGCAGCTGATTAAAAATTAATTTCAAGTGTTGACCTACCCACATTCACCTTTTTGTGACATTTTCTTTAAACCATATTATTGAGATAATTTGATCAATTATGTTGATTCAATAATATTGCAACATTTTCTTTAAATCCCATCAACACAATTTGATCAATAATATTGTTCCTTTAAACTATTTAATTTAAAGTAAAACAAAAAACTAATAAATAAAAAAAAGGAAATATATATTATGCCGGTATTTGGTCCTAAAAATACGTCTTTTTTACGTTTTTACAATTAGGACCAAATGGCAGCTGGATAGTTGTTTCTTTGTTATTAGTTTTTTGTTTGTTTTAAATATTTCAAAAAATCTAAGAACTCAAACCAATAGCTGTTGGTTTGCGTTTTTAGATTTTGTAAAATTGTAAAAAAGCGGCCATATTTTCTAATCTAAGTAAAGCTGTTGTTGTAAGCGTTGCTGTAAGAAATAAAACCACCCTGCTAAAACAAATCTATTTTTTAAGGTCTAAAAGTTTTAATTTGAATACAGAACTATATATTTTTTATAGCCGAAAGTTTATTTTTAACTATAATAATAAAAAAAAACCTTTAAAAATAAATTTTCAAACGTATTTCTTTTAATGAAGAGTATTAACATTTTTTCGCATTAAGAAACTGTAATATCAGACAAAGCTCAACGGAGAGATGAGAATACGGTTCAAGACCTTTTGTAATAATGCCTCCGTTAAATAAAAATGTTTGATGAATTTGTTGCTAAACTTTGTTACCACAAAATAAGTCTTGAAAAATAATACTGTAAAATCTTTGGAAAACATAGTTTTTACATAATTACATAAATTTTATATAAAATTATTGAGGGCACCTTATGCAATAATTTCATAACCAATTTCTATATAATTGACTTTTTTTTTAGGGCAAGCCACAAACTCATTTGGAAACTGGTTACAGTGGGATTTAAATGGAGATAGTGTGGTATCAAAAAATGAGGTAAATGGTTTTTTAAAAAAATTATTAAAAGAAAAGTTGATTATTAATTGTAATTTTATTTTTCTAAAATAAAACTAAAAAAAATTTTTTTTATGAATTTTATTTTTTTGACAAAAGACATTGACACTAAAGACAACAGCCTATTAAGTGCGAACGGCTTCTTGTTTATTAAGTGCGAACTGCTCCTTGTTTAGCATCATATCCAATGGTTTCATAAGATGCTTTCTTTGAATTGCGAACGATTAAAATAACAATTCTTGCGACCAAAAACAGACATGAAAACACGAGTAGTACACAGTTGAAAACTGCAACAGGAGTATTTTTATTCCAAACACCAATATGAATGCCAGTAAATGCCCAGATTAACACAATGTAAGCTGTAAATGTGTAACCAGTGTAGGCGGTTAGTACAAAATTTTCTAAGATAAACCATGCTAAAATTAAAACAGCTAAGATTGAAAGACCAACTAGCGAAGCAGTTTGTGACTTGACTTCTAATTCATATTTTAAAAAAATGCCAGTATTAATTAAAGATGCAACAGTGGTCCAAGTTCCATAGAATAAAATACCATTTTGAACGAGGATTCTATGAGCCCAAAGGTCCCATTTATTTTCGGTCAAGTTACTCTGAGTAGAGGTGAACTCATAAAAATCTGTTAATGCAAAATACAATGTAAGGTCCAAAAATATTTGACCTATTACTAGAACAACGAAACTTCCCACTATTGACTTGACGCACCACACAAACAGCCAGACAGTTAAAGTAATGACAGCAAGGTTAAAGAAGACAAAAAATTTTGTCGATAAAATCTTGTTTGCGTTGCTATTGCGAAAGATAGTACTTATAGCATATATTATCCACAATACTTGGTATGTAAAAATGACCCCCCAGATACTAAAGGTTTTTGACACAGGGGTGATCTCCAAAGAAAACTTGTTGGATATGTTGCCAACACTAGTAGGAAAAAGATTGTTATCTCCAGCTCCAGCTAAACCGTTGAAAACAAGATGAATTATAAAAATGAGCGAGGTAAATATTATAGCAACTATTTGCTTCGTTCGTCTTGCCATATCTTGTTTTTTCTAAATATAAAGTCTGTTTATTTATGTTTACGCATAATAATGGAAGATAAAAATTTAAAAATTTTTTAAGAAAGTTTGCTTCTATATTTAAAATAGTAGAAACCAAAAATTATAATAATTTATACAAAACAAAAGAATTCCTAAAAAAACGTTTTACCTTAAAAATTGAAGACTTATTTTATTCGTATAAAATTGCTAGAAAGTTGCTTTTACAAAAAAACGTATTAAGGAACACCTCAGCAAGTTAATAGAAAGTCAAACGTAAATAAACGCGCCTATCGTCAAATTGTTCTCCACCTTTTAACGTAATCAAGAATTAATACGTTCTTTTTCATTTTACAGGAGAGTGTTTAATCTTTTTATGCCAATTGGTAGTCAAGTCGGAAATCAACAGCGTTTTAACAGTAATCCTAGATCAATTATTTTTTTCTTCAAATAATTTGAGAGAAAAATAATAATATCTTTTGTAAGCCGGTAGTTAATAATCATTTGAAAACATTACTTAAGTTGTTTAGATTCAAAGGGAATTTATTTATCTACTCTCATGCCATAAATTATTTCTCTTGTTAAAATTTTAACAACTAAATTTTTTTTAATTTTAATATTAATAAGATATACTACTTTAAAACTATTTATAATGTAAAGAATGTTTTAGATTTCTAAAAAAAGCAAAACCTAGTGTTCCCAGCAGGAATAGTGCGGGCGGTGGTGAGGGAGAGTTTTTTCCTTACCTATTTTTTCCGAAAGTTTTGAAAATAAGATATTAGTTTTTCTCTATTTTTTATGATTTTCCTTCCCAATATATAGTATAATTAGCTTTGGTTAGCTTCACAAGAGCTTAGGTTAGCTTCACAAGAGAGGTACTGCGAACTTTTTTTTGTGATCTAAAATAAAATTTTTGTTTATTTTAATATTGTAATTGCCAACATCATTATATAACATAAGTTATATAATGATTTTAATGAACTTATAAAATTAACTTTTAAGTTATACAACTTAACGTGTAGTCGTTAGAAGTCAAGCACAACGAAATAAAAACTGCATACTTATATTAAGACGATATTTTGAAGAAAAACCTGACACGTTTTTTTTTTTTTAATTTTGTTTTTTTGTTTTTTTGTTTTAAGAAATACACTTTGCCAATAGGAAAAAATATTTACCATCGCAATTTATAAAGAATAATTGCATGACCTGGGTTTGAAAAAGTTTCTATTAGTCTTATCACCAAATTTCGATAATGTTATCTCGTATTTTTTTTCTGAGAATTTTATCATCTAAAAAACAATTTACTTTGTGTTTGCTTAACATTTGCGTAATAAATCCAAATTCTAATGGCTTTACGTTTGCGGAGAGATGTATTTTGAGTTGTTTCTTTCTGTAACATTTTTAGTTGTTATTTTTTTAAATAAATTTTCAGAAAATGTAAATATATTATTAATACGGTAACAAAAATAATTGGGGGATATTTATATTTTTTTAAATTTTTCAATTTTCAGAGTATTAAAATTATTTGAATAATTATTTTCTAAAATTTTTATCACTATTTAATCTGAAAATGCTTTTGTTCAAAATTAAGTTTGTTTATGCTATACAAGTAACAAGTGATGAAGAGTCTTTTTATATGTAACGTGATTCCATCCCTTTTTTAAGTAGGAGGTTGCATTAAAAACCTTTTTTTAATTATGTTTTGAACTTTTTTTTATGTAAAAACGTGACTAGGATTCAGGTTATTTACATAACTACTGTATATATATATATATATATATATATATATATATATATATATATATATATATATATATATATATATATATATATATATATATATATATAAATATATATATATATATATATATATATATATATATAAATTTATATATATATATATATATATATATATATATATATATATATATATATATATATATATATATATATATGTATATATATATATATATATATATATATATATATATATATATATATACATATATATATATATATATATATATATATATATATATATATATATATATATATATATATATATATATATATATATATATATATATGGAAAATGGGTCTGTGGCCTTGTTACGACATTGACTTATTTATGCACACGGTACACTTATTTACAATAGTGTTATATAAGTAACAAGAATTAAAATGCTTTGCTTTTATCAAAACTTTATAAAATATTGAATCAAAACAGCGTGATTCAAACACACCCGATTGAAGTAAAAGATTTAGAAATATTTTAAATAAGCCGCTAAAAGATTATTACTATATTGTTATATTTGCAACTTCGATTGTTTTATTCAAGTAAAATATCAATTAAGATCATAGATTATCAATAATATTTACCATATTATTTTTTTTTCTTTTAAATCAGAAGTCCGAGATCATTAAACAGTTTAATGAAAATGTCGAAACCTCTTCATTCTAAGAGATGTTGGATATGAAAGTTTGAGATTTGTTTTTAAGCTTTTTCATTGAAAAAAAAACTTAAAAAAGCTGCTGCGTTAAGATTATTTCGATTTAAGTTAAATAATATCCGGGCATTGTGCTGCCTCGATTAAATGCTACCTCGATTTATTTAGATGTACGGATCAAATAAGTCCTTATATTTTGTGGCAAAATATTCTCAATAGGAAAATATTTGCCGAAAATATTAGTTTTTTTTTAGTTTTTGTTGATTATTACACTTTAAAAAGAATTTTGTTATAAAATATTAATTATTAAAATATAATAAAAGTTTAAATGATGTTGGAACACGAAGGAAACTGAAAAGCCTTGTTGCCTAGAAACGCTAAAATGTCTACGAGTTAAAATTTCTCAGTAATAAGGTTTTCACTAAATTAAAAAGAAATTCGCCATAAGAAATTTTTTATTATTTATTATATTATTGAGTATTTATTATACTTGAAGATAAAAAATAGTTTCGAATTAAAAACCAAACAAAAAAAAAAAACAGATTTAAAAGAGATTAAAAGAATATTGAAATATCATCTAATAAAAAATGACTTTTTTTTTAAGTTTTTGTTTCAAAAGGTTATGGCTTAACAATTGAAAAAAAAATTTGCCAAAATTATTTTATTCCAAAGTAAAGCTCCTCGAAAAGAAATGCAATATTTTCCACAGTAAAGCTCCTCGAAAAGAAATGCAATATTTTCCAAAGTAATGCTCCTCGAAACGAAATGCAATATTTTCCAGGATTAAAATGATTTTTTAAATTATATTAAGTTTTTTTTTACGAAAAATTACAAGAGTAGTGAAGTATCCCCTAAAGAATACATTGTTATTACATTTGAACATAAAGCAAATAACATTAAAATTTAACATTAGGCAATATTATTTGGCTCATATATGCTATAAACTTTCATTTCAATTAATAGAGACTTGATATGAGTAAATATATCCTTAAAATTGATAAGATATGCAACACGTTTTTGTTGAAGATAGAAAAGTTCAAGTTTGTTTTTATTAGCATTACCCCTTGCGATGTTTATATTTGTAGCACTACCCCCTCAATGTTCAGAATTTATGTGACAATAAATGAGCAAATAAAATAGTTATAGCAAAGTGTGCTTACTTAGAAAACTACTTGCTTTGTATAATTGTTAAAGCCTGGTAATTTCAATGAAAAACACTAGGCAATTTGAGCATGCTCATATTACACAAAAATGGTTTTTTTAAACAAAGTCAAAACTAAATGTTTCTATCCATTGTTTTTCAAACAAAAATAGATTGAATTTTCTGCTAACATATTTTACTTTTTGAAAAAATAAATTTCATTATTTTAGCACCAAAATTTCGCGCCACAGGTTTATTTATGCGTGATGATATTATTTTAACAACGCAAAAATTTTAGCAACGTTTTACTTTGATGACATTTGATGCTTATTTATTACTGCATATAAATTTACGATAACGGTACTGATTCCTGTTATCACCATATAAAGTCAATTCAAAAAATACAAAGCAACTTTAACTTCACTGCTTACATCTAAGAATTCTTTAAGTATATTACCAAGGTGCTTTCATCTTGATTGATAAACTTAGAGTTTCATAAGGAAATATCTTTTGAAAACCAATTCTCTGTTTTTAGATTTTTTTGTTCCCAAAATCTAATTATTAAAATTTTTTGGCAAAAACTTGACATAAGAATGAACATACAAAACTTTTGGGTTTACACTATGTCTGTAAGTTATTGTAAGTTGAACACCAAATAAACCTAAGCACATCGCTGAAGTAATCAAACTGCAAAAACGCCGAGTAGATAAAGCAAAGGTATAGTTTATGGTCAGTTTTTTACTCATTTTTTACATGTGTAATTAGTTTTTTTTGCTGAAATTAGGCAAAAAAAACTAATTACACATGTAAACGTTGTTATACAGTTACTTTTTTTCCTAGGGCATTGTAAAAAAAAAACTACGATTTCTTTACAATCTAATTAGTATAATCAAGGCCGGCGCGATAGGGGGGTGTGGGGGGGTGTCCCCCCATCAATGATTTTTAGTCGGCAAACTGGACCCTTAGTCGGCAAATTGGACTCTTAGTCGGCAAATTGGACTCTTAGTCGGCAAATTGGACCTAGTTAGTCGGCAAATGTGGACCCTTTCGATATAGGTTAGACAGTCGGCACCCCCACCCATCCCTCCCCCCCCACATGACACCTACTCGCGCTGGCCCTGAGTATAATATATATCATGACTAAATAATAAATAATCATAATAAACAGCATAACATAATATCACATAATATAACATAATGGTAGAAAACTGAAAATGTTTCTTTCAAAAAATAGTTATGTTTTTTTTTTAAATTTGTTGTTGTAAAGGAAATTCGTAGATGACGAGGAAGTCTTATCATCGAGTACCTCTTCAAATAGTTAAATAAAAATAGTTTTTAATAGAATATAGTCATCAATGGTTAAATAAGATATAGTGGTATTTTAACTGATGACTCCCTATAATTAAATATAGTTAGTCGTCTTCAGTGGTAGTAATATTGTTGTTTTATTTTTATTTTGTACTAAAAATATTAGCTATTTTTCTCTAGTTTGTAAAAAATTTAGTTTGGTAGGACACTTGTAATTATCAAGTTTTTTTTTTTTAAGTTTGATAGAGAATTTTTTAAGATGTTTTCCATAAGGAGTCGTCCATAAATTACGTCACGACAGGCAAGGTCAATCAAAACTAAAACTACTTTAAGATAAACAAAATCCCTTCTCTTTCAAGAGGGACTTAAATAAGTCTTTTTGAAGTTTTAATTAAAGCAAATAAAGCAGTGCTCTGGGAATAAAGTTGAGTTCCGTAAAATTGGTATATCCGTAAAATTGGTAAATACCATGACAATAATTTACCAGTAAATTATTACTACCGCAATCAACCATATTATGAAGCATTCTTAAGTGAGTTTTCCCCCTTATCTATGAAGTTCTCCTAAGTATCTTTGGATCCTTAAATATTTATAAACTTAATCTATTATTATTATTATTATTATTATAGTTGTAGCCGTAAATTTACATAGAATGTACACATACAGCGAGCAGGGAAAACACCCCATTATAAACAACCAGTTTTATAAATATTTGTTTCAAACTTATTCCACAACCAGGAGTCTAGTCTATTTTTGAAGGAAAGTACAGTGGAGTACAAAGTTATTTGCTCTGGTAGTTTGTCCCAGTATTTTTCTGATCTATTATACAAATGATTATATCTTGGAAGACAGTTTGGAACATACTCACGCCTTATTTTAGAATAGTGACCACGAGACATGGAGTTAATATATTTTGGTAGATATTTATCATTAACTATATCAAAACGATGTATTAATTTAAAAATTTGGATTAAATCGCATCGAAGGCGTCGAAACTCAAGTGATGGTAGATTTAATTTTTTTAGCCTTTCGCAGTATTGAATATGCCTCAAGCTGTAAGCCCATTTTGTTGCTATTCGTTGAACAGATTCAACCAAAGCCATATTAGCTTTTAATTAAGGAGCCCAAATGGACACTCCATATTCAAAATGTGGTCTTATAAATACTTTATATAATTTGAGAGCCATTTTTTCATCAATGAAAGTGAATGTCTTTTTCAGCATACCAAGAATTTGTAAGGACTTAGAGACAACTGTTTGAATATGAGCGCTCCACTTGAGGTTAGATGTAAAAATGACTCCTAAATCACGTTCTATATCTACATTAATAATGATGTTTTATTAAAATAAAGCTAGTAAAATATTCAAAATTATTCGAATAATGCTAAAAAAATGACTATAAATACTTTCCTGATGCTTTTGCAATAGTTTTCTTGTTCAAAAATATTAAATTTTTTATTGTAGTTGTATTTATTCATTTTTGTGCAGATATTGTTGACCTAGATCTAGATACATTTAAAAGTAAATCTAAATTATTTTTAATTATTGATTTTAATATTAGATTATAAATGTTTTTTTAGTTGAACTTCAGAAGAAAAAAAATATTTATATAATTATATTTAGTTGAGTAATCGTACTATTATCTCCTAATATTTTTAACTAATAACTATTTTTAATTATTTTTTATTAATTTTTCATTATTTGATTCAATTGTTTAATGATTCTCGCAAATACGACTATTTTACACTATATCAATTTTATAAATTAATTCTGAGAGGTTTTGGGGTCTTTCAAGGTTTTCAATAATTTGGGGATCTCTCAATGTTCTCAGAGGATTGGGGGTCTCAAAGATTTGAGGAGTCTCTCAAGGCTCTCAGAGGTTTGAGAAACCCTACTCCCTTTCTTTCCTCTTTCCCCTTTCCCCTTTCTCCTCCCTCTCCTTCCCCCTCTGCCCCCCAAAAAAGGACTCTTTTGTGTGGTTGTATAAATAAGATAAACGTTCTCTCTAATATTGTTAAAATCTTTACAAAGTACAAAGTTAATAATGGTTTAATCATTACAGATTAGATACTAAATTCCCAATTATCGGCAAACTAGAAAAAAATTATTTAAAAGAAAAATAGAAAACAAAATTCTACTTGATAAAATAAAAAAATTTAACAACTAGTGTTTGTTGCAGTTGATGAACTTTTAGTTGCAACTATTCGGAGCATCTTATAAACTTTTTATGAAATAGCAAAAAACCAAGACCAGAAAGACCAAAACAAAATTGCTCGACTTTTTTACTACATTTTTAAAACTATAAGAAACCAAATTTATGTTTTCAGGTTTAAAATATTTGTGATTTTTAAATTCAGGTGATTACTATGGCTCAACGACAGCTAAAGTTGTATTTAAATTCAACTGATGTAGATGAAATGTAAGTCTTTTATACCATTTATAATAATTTAAAAAAAAAAGAATGTATTTGTAATTTACATCATAAATATATCATCAAATTACATCAACAAAAAAAACAAATTTCTGGAATAGCAAAATATTATGGTGAAAAAACAGATAAAGTATCTGCACCCAACGCAAACCAAACGCAAACACAAGCCAAACGTAAACACAAGCAATCGCAATTTCAATAATCGTAATTTATGAAATTTGTAACCTTTGGGTTTTATGCTTATTCAATTAACTAGTTCAAAGTTACTCTCACCAAACTAAAATTTAATGTAGACAAGTGATATGTATATATATATATATATATATATATATATATATATATATATATATATATATATATATATATATATATATATATATATATATATATATATATATATATATGTATATATATATATATATATATATATATATATATATATATATATATATATATATACATATTTATATATATATATATATATATATATATATATACACACACATATATAAACTTAGTTTTTGAAATACACAAACTCAAACACACACACATAAACAGGGGCGGATACAGGATTTTTTGAAGTTTGAAATAACTAGCTTCCAGACATGGAGCGAACTCGAAACTTTTATATGTTTATAGTTATATCAAATATGGATACTTTGCAAAAAATTGAGATGATAGGAGCCTGGGAACAAAAAAACCCCTAAATTTTTGCTACACCTGCTCTAAACGTGAGAGCAACAAGTTGATAAAATAAGTTTTTTACTTTTCTCAACTAAATCTATATTCATCGAGAAATTTTTAATTTTGTAAAACAATCTTTTAGCGTTCAATAATAATGGTCTTATAAAATTTGTAACCCCCTCAAATGGAGGGGGATTCAAACTTTATGTGGCTATAACTTTTGAACGTTAAGAGATTATTGTATGAATTTTAAAATTTCTCGATGAATATAGATTTAGTTAAGAATAGTAAAAAAATTATTTTATCAATTTGTTGCTCTCACGTTTGGGGCAGGTGTAGCAAAAATTTTGGGGCTTTTTTGTTCCCAGGCTCCTATCATCTCAATTTTATGCAAAGTATCTTTATTTGATATAACTATAAACATATAAAAGTTTTGAGTTCGCTCCATGTCTGAAAGTTAGTTATCTCAAACTTCAAAAAATCCTGAATCCGCCCCTGATAAATATATATATATATATATATATATATATATATATATATATATATATATATATATATATATATATATATATATATATATATATATATATATATATATATATATATATATATATATATATACATATATATATATATATATATATATATATATATATATATATATATATATATATATATATATATATATATATATATATATATATGTATATATATATATATATATATATATATATATATATATATATATATATATATATATATATATATATATATATATATACATTTATATGTATATATATATATATATATATATATATATATATATATATATATATATATATATATATAATATAGTTTTGCTGTTCTAAAGATGACCGAACTTGATGATGGGCTAATAACAATAGATGAGTTTGAAAAAATGAATACTGCAGGTATTGCTGAATATATGAAAGATTTAAGGGAACAACACCCAAGGTTTCGAGATCGATTTAGTGACCAAATTTGGTTAAAGCAGGATGATATGAGCGATAGCGTTATGAAAAGATTACGAGAGAAGTAAGATAAATAGAATTTTTTCAAGTTATAAAGATGAAGAGTATTAATAAATAAAAATTGTTAATTATTATTAGTAAAATTAATTTTACTATTATTAAATTATTATTATTGTTAGAAAGAAGCTAATGAAAAAATTATTGAGACAATAACTTTTACGCTTCAAAGTTTTTATAATGACAGTATTTTATAAATAAGTTTAGACTTTATTTGCATATATTACTTTTTTCATCAGGGTAACAAAACTAACGAATCTTCCTGCATATATCATAGCTGGTGGAGAACCATTACAGGTTGTAAGATACAAACCTTTTGGTCATTATCACGCTCATTTCGATGCTCAATCACGTTCAGAATATCCTGACTATCCTTGTTGTCATTTAGATTTAGCATCTCAACCTTTTAAGTGCCGATTATGCAGGTTATTTTTTTTATATTTTTGAGATGCATCTGTTTTTTAACCTTTTTAACCAAAACCTAAAAATATTGAAAAAAGTTTTGAATAAACTTAAATGTATGAAATTTTAACATTTAAAATGATACAGATATAAAATGACACATATATAACCTTTTGTCATCGAGTGCACCCAATAAATGCGTAAACAAACACGATTAACACGATAATGCAATTTTGAACGTAAAAATCTTAATTTCCTATGTGGGCTATACTAAAACAAACATAAAAATAATTTTAGTAGTAATATCTGAGAGTTTTTTTAATTTGATGGAGTTTGCTTGTTTTCCGGATTTATAATTCAATTTTTTTATTTGCTAACAGTTTTCACCATTATGTTAGAAAATGTGATAAGCAAAATTGTTTTGCAATAAATTTTTTAAACAGCCATATAGTTGCGTGTTGCACCTAAAATAAACCGTGAGTATATTAACAACCATAATAACAAAGCAAAGGTCAGAAATAATAGTGACGAAAAATATTTGAACAAAACAACTAATGGTAATTTTAAAAATTTTTCAGATAAAAATTTTAAAATTTAATAAAAGTTAAAGTAAAAAAGTAAATTAAAAGTTTGGGCGAACGTGTATTTTAGGCAACCCCCTTTATAAGCCCGTGAAAAACGAGTCACGCGAAATAACTGTTATTGAAATCCATACTCTAACCCTGACTCTAAGTGTTAGGGTATGTTTTATATCAAGATCAGGGTTTGGTAAACATTTGGTTTTTAATAAGACTCGTTTTGCGTATGATTAATTTTTCCGGAGTTATGTACTCTTCTTTCATAGATAAAACATTTGTTTATTCGCATTCTTGTTACATTTTACTTTTTTACTTTTTTTTTTTGTTTGTTTTTTTTTTTGTTTTTTACTTTTCAGTATCACAGTTTTGTATTAAACTCTATTAGATTCATCACAGTTCTGTATTATTTGAACGATGTTGAAGAAGGAGGGGAAACAGCATTTCCTGTTGCAGATAAAGAAAACTACAGTCATGACGTATGCACTAAATTTTCTATTTTAACTTTTAATTGCTATAATTTGCATTAACTTGTTTTGCTATAAAATATTGATATGCTGAAGTAGCGTAGAAAAAGTTTGAAATAAAATGTTCAAAAATTAATCTTTAAAAAAAACTTAAATTTTAGCATTTACTAACAGAACGTTTTTTAATTTTTAATATAATCATTATAAATGAGGCCTAAAATAACATAATTATGCAGCGTGCAAAATAAATTACATTTTTAATATAAAATAGTATTAAAGAATGAATTATTAAATAACAATGAAAGATGAATGAAATATCAATAAAATCAATAGCAAGTATTATTTTTGAAGAAAATTTTAAATCTTTTGTACAATGGAAATTTAGGAATGTAATATAAAAAGCTAGTGAAAAAAATAAAAATAAAAATAAACTACAGTTAAAAAAAAAGTCGGCTAAATTTCATAAAAAATTAGACTAAGGCTTGTTAGTAATATCAAATAGAATCATTCTTTGGTCTTGAAAATCTTAGCTAGACAATTTGACATTTAGATGATTTAGTATTGAATTATGGGTCTCTTCTCTTGAAATATACCTCATGCGCTCATTGTAGTTCATTTGTCCAAAATATACCACTATCGGATATAATTCTATCGGGTTCAAGAATATTTAGTATAAATAACGTATTAAAAATTTAAGTTTTGCTAACTCCAAAGTAGTTATTTTATTATTATTTTAAAATAATAGTTAGTGCTTGTTTTAAATGCTTATATATTGGGTTTTTAATATGGTAAATTTTTCAAAGCTATATAAAATTTTTTTCGTTTTTTGAAAATATTTTTTAGTTTACAATAACGCTAAATGTATATAAATATGTTTACTAATTCTTTTGATTTTTTTTTTTTTTTTTTGTGCCGATTTTAAAAAACAGACTTATTTATATCAGTCTTCTGATGTTCCGTGTTCTGATATTTAATTACAACGATATTTATACCATAGTATATTGTAATAAGAACAAAAAAAAAAAAAAAAAAGTCTGTAGAAATATATTTGTTCTGTCGATTTATCTCTTTCTCAATCCTAAACTCTAAAGACATGAACTTCGTTAAACAAAGCTGATACACAGCGAAGCAGATTGAGGGGAACTTCCAGAGCTGTAAGATGGATTTAAATTTTAAACCTATTGTGAACAGAGGGTTCTACCACTAGACATATACTAAACCATCAAACGATCATACATCTAAGGAATGTACATGAACGGAAATTAAAGACGAAATCTTGACGGTTAGATGTAAAATTCTTACAATTTCACAACCAAACAATGCAACTTATGACTATCCAGTGAAAAAGCCCACGTGTTATCTCATGAGCGTTTTTTCACTAGAAATTTATAGGCGTTGGCTTTTACATATGTAAACTTTGTGGCATTTTATTCTATTATGGTAGGTTATAAAAAACCTTAAAGTTTTTTATAACCAACCATAACTTTTTATAACTAACCATAACTTTTTATGACCAACCAATTGGTTGATTATAAAAAGTGATGACTGGGAATAAAAAGCAGCAATTACTAATCAAGTTAAAACTTTTTTAATTGCTGAAAAAAGAAACAATGTTTTGTAAAGTGTGTTTATATTTAAACTTTATAAAAAATAAAGTTTAAATATAAACACACAAAAGCTGTTGAGAACTTTAAGTAAGAAATAACTATAGCAACAGAACTGTAGAGTAGCAACAGAAGTAGGAGTGTAGATGTCTAAAAATAAACTAACATTTAAACAATTTAACATTGTCAGGAAGAGTGTGATCATTAGATTAAGAAAAACTATATAAACTAAAATATAGTTATGCCTTGTCCTTGGGAGAGGTAATCAAATTAGAAGCAGATTTGGATGTCTAGCAATGGATTAAGGTCCAAACTCTATTATGTAGCATGTTTAAAATCAAATATATTGTATTTTAAATGTGTTATTTTTGTCAGGGCTGTGGAGTTGTAAAAAAAAAATAACGACTTCGACTCCAGTTAATGAAATTTTTTGAGTACAACTCTGACTCCGACTCCAACTCCGACTCCGACTACAATTTCAAAGCATAATTTTTGAAAAATTCTTTGATATCTTTAAAAAATATTACGCAATAAAATAAAATAAAATTTTTTGACAAACATATGAGACATTCTTTAAGAATTAGTACGAATATAAGGTTAATTGCATGTTTTGTACGTCCACGTACAATACCGAGAAGTTTTACTAATAAAGTCGGAGTCGCAATTTTGTTTAGCGACTCCGACTCCTGAGAGATTATTGTATGAAATTTAAAATTTATCAATGAATATAAATTTATTAAAGAATAGTAAAAAAAATATTTTAATAAGCTTGTTGCTTTCACGTTTGAAACAGTTGTGGCCAAAATTTAGGGCTTTTTTTGTTCCCAGGCCTCAATCATTGCAATTTTTTGTAAAGCATTCTTATTTGACATAAGTATAAACAATGTTTGGAGTTTTTTCCATATCTAGAGGTTAACTAAAAATCTAAAAAATCAAAAAATGCTGGATCCGCCCCTGATATATTCTTTATATTTTTTATTCCATATAACTTCAAATTTATTTTAGAAATTTTTTCTCAGAAATTTAATCTTATTTCTATTAGGAGTTTAAAAAACGTAAAAATGGAGATCTTTATAACTTGAGTGAACATTGCTATAATGCATCTCTTGTTGTAAAATCGAAAAAAGGCAGAGCAGTGTTTTGGTACAATCATCACTTAGAGGATGGCTGGTTAGGTGAGTTCAATTTAATTGGTATAACTTTTTTTTATAAAAATGTCTCTCAATATTTTTTTTTCGTAATTTAAACTCATCGCCATAATTTATTTTTGTTGTATATTTATGAAATATTTTTATAATGTTTTTTGTAAGGTACCTTAATTCCCATTTCAGTGCCGTTTATTTATAATATTCATTTCTTAAATTTCTAAAAACAGTTTATTATTTAGTTACTGCAATTGCAAACAGACAATCTAATTATACATTTTAAAAGAATTATGCAATATAAGGTGTTACAAGATGTAAACTTCATAGTTTATCCCTTTATGTCTCTTATAAACGTGGTATGTAGTTTAAACTATAAATGCTAATTTTTTAATAAAAAAAATATTTATAATTGGACGTTTATGAGTTGAGAAGAATTGTTTAATTATAAAGTAATAATAAACTTTAATATTTTAATTAAGTTCCGATTGCATTTAGAATCATGATTTAAAATATTAAACTTAACAATGCAATTATTATATAGTAATAATAAATAAAACAATCTACTTTTTACATCTTTTATAAATATAAAAGATGTAAAAAGTATTGATTAAAATTTTTTAAGACTAAAAAAAAAAATTAATAACAAAATTTTTGTTAAAGAACTTTTTTTTCTTTTTTTTTAAAAAAAAATCGTTTTTTGTATTTTTTTTTTTTTTTTTTTTTGTATCTATTTAATCTGATTACATAATGATTAAGTTTCAAGGTGCAAAACTCCATACTTTTTAACTGAATTAACTGTTGTTGTTTTTTTTTTATTGTATATAAAAGTATTCATTTTTAGAGGTTGGCACGTTATTTTTAATTAAATTTATAAAATATTTATAGGCGAAATGGATTGGTATTCACTTCACGGTGGATGTGATATTCGTAAAGGAATAAAATGGATTGCAAACAATTGGATTGTTGGTCCACCACGCGAGGTTGCTCATATGGATAGTTTATATTACTTACTTAACACGCCAGAAGCTCATTAATAATTTTTTTTATCAATTTAGTTTTTTGTAGAAGTTGAAATTATATAAATTACCGTAATTGTATTTAATTTAAAATTAGTTATCATTTTTAGTTATTATTTATTTATTTCTAATTTTCGATTTTTTTTTTTTTCACTATTAATTACAAGCATGCCTCGCTTATAATATACGTTTCGAACAAAACCACTAAAACTGAAAAAGGCTATTGTATTATAGTATATACTATAGTACTATACAAAATATTGATAAAAGTATTTTTTTAATAGTATTTTGAACCGTAGTTTAGTTTTTGCTTTGAAAAACTTGAACCAATTTTAATAAAAGTTTATTAAAATTGGTTCATATTTACATAGCGTATTACAAAAATAACAAACAAATGGCATGTAAACATAAACGTCATTATTTATTAAAATAAATAAAAGCAAATAAAACTGTAGAAAAGTACTTCATCGTGGCATTAAAAATTCTAAAATTCATTTCTTTTAATATTTACAGTCGATTTTTACGAGGCTTATGTATATATAATACTTAAAGATCCAATATCGATAGAAAGTCATTATTTATTGACGCTTAAGAAACGATATATTTTCTGGATTTCTGTAATGTGATTAAGACCATTGGATGCATTATTTGGGTTGAAACTATTATTTTTTTGTCTTTAAATAAAAATCTTTTCTCTAAGTATTTTTTATTTATTATTTCAATGATGTTCATATTTTGTATCAAAGTACCCCATGGCCATACCCATGGGGTACCATACCCCATGGGGTACCTTGATACAAACTATGAGCATCATTAGTTATAAAAAGTTATAAACTATAAGCATGATTAATAAATTTAATTTTGTAGGTGAAAATTAATTTTACAAATTAAACCAATATTAATTTTTTTATATTGTTTGTTATAGTTGTTTAAAAATGACATAAATAAAAAATAGCACAAAAATTTATTTAAATTTTTAAATTACAATAAAAATCCATTTATTATTGTAACAAAGTGTAGAATACTTACAAATATAATCATGATTATTCAAACATAAACAAAGAAATTTTCAATTATCTTGGACCAAAAACCTCTTTTTTAACTTTGTGTTACATTGTTCTGTTGGCATTGTTGCATCTTTAATTTCATCTTGCGATTTTTAAAAAAAAATAACCTTCTGTAATAAATTATTTGAAAAACTAATTATACATAGATGAATTTTAAACGTTATTTTAGTGTGATTGATAACTTTATATGAAATAATAGTTACCATATACAATTTAATAAAACGATTATTTAAATGATATTGCATAAAGAACATACATGCTTTACCATGTATGGTCTATTGTTAGAGGAAAGAAAATCTATTAATCAACTAATAAATGAACATGTAAACAAAAATTAATAAAAATACCACGGAGGTACCAAATAAAGTTTGTGTGAAAACTTTTGCAAGTGTTTCCAAGTTTCCAAGTGTTTGCAAGTTATTCCAAATTATGTCACATTAAAATATGTGTACTTTTTAGAAGTTTTCTTTAATATTTATTTATAATATTTTATTAAAAACAATGCAAAACAAACTGCTCTTGGTCTTAAAAAATGTGCTACCATTATACTATTGACATCTCCTTGAAGTCTTCGTATCATTTTTTTTTTTTTTTTGTAGTTATTTAGGTGCTCCCAAAAGTCCTTACGTCACAGAGCACCGTGGAAGAGCATTTAATCAGAAGTTCAGGCCTCTTTCCGTTTCAATATCATTTGTTGGGCTGGAGAAAGCGTCCAACCTTGGACCTCTGGGTTCTGAGCCAGTACTTTAACCAGCTAAAATCTCAGTCGAAATCAACTCTCAGAAGACCAGGCCAAACACAGCAAAAACCCGTATATTTTATAAATTTTGCGTATTTTTTATATGCAGAATTTATTTTATCTATTTTATTAAACTCTGTAAACTAATAGATTGCGATATTAAAACTCAGGAGTTGTGATATTAGACCTTGGGAAAACTTTTCTTTCACTTTAAGAAATATAAAAATATGAATATTGAAAATAAACTTGCCAGATTAAGTGTAAACTAACCAGATTTAGATGAACATTTTATGGTAGATTTTACATAAATTTTATTTTATCAAAATTATATATAATGCCATAGTATTTGACTAACATTTGTTAAAGTAATTTATTTTCTGTTTTTAATTATTAATTAACACAAACCAACTCTTAAAACAAACCATAGATACTATTAAACTTCTTAAATAAAAAATTTCTATATGTCTTAAACATAAAAAATGTATTACGATAAAAATAAAAATAAAATCATTTTTGAAGGTTTTTTTATTTTAAATAACAATCATGCTATAAAAAAAAAATTATACGATTATGAATGCAAAATTACAATACAATAACAAAGATGCAATTATTTATGTAATCTTCACATGTAATGCAAATTTATTTTTATTTCTATAAGTTGATATAAAAATACCATATTCATATCAACTTCTTATCAATCACCGTCTATCAATCAATTAATATTTTATACAAAAGATACCGTTAACAATATAGTATGAATACTACAATAATATTTTAGTGAAAAGACAATACAAGTAGTACAAAACCAATTCAAAGTAAAGACCTCACATTTCAACCTTTAAAACTCTTACATTTCAACCTTTAAAACTTTCATTCTTACTATTTTAGTTTTATGAAAATATAATATTACGTCATTACAATATTAGACAATACTATTCTTACGTCTTCTGTTGCCACTATATTATAATTTAGGCTAAAACCTTTTTTAAGCAATTTTGATTGTGACCAACTTACTACAATCTAAAAAATAACATTATACTGTTAATTTTTGATGTTAATGATCAGGCTTAACTGAAGTTGTAAATAAATAGTAATTATAGTAAAGTCATAATAATTTATAAACAAAGTTGATATGACGTAAATATTATTTTACTAATACAATTCAATTTATAAAAAAGATATCAAACGTTAAAATAAGTTGTAAAACATCAAAACAGCATCGTACTAACTAATTATTTTTTTTTGGTGATATTTCTAATTTGTATAGACCATCATTAGATGTAAAATAGAATATTTAACGTCTGATGATGGTCTATACAAATTAGACCAAAATATCACAAAAAAGAAAAATTATTTAAAACGATGCTGTTTTGATGTTTTACAACTTATTTTAACTTTACGTACAACAAGAAATGTCGCTAAAACAATCAATCATTTATGCTAAAACAATCAATTTATTTATGCAATAGCGTTCAGTGGTAAATTATAAGTCACATAGTATTACTTTGTGCCTAATAATTTAAAAGGCACATAATAACAATTTGTGACTTATAATTTATCACTAAATTGCTGTTGTATAAATAAATTACTACTCTATTGCTCTAGCAATAGAGTAGTAATTTATTTAAACAACAGCAATTTATAAATAACAATCATATAAGCATGATGCTTTTATAGCAACTTGACAAAAATAAACAAGAAATTGGATAACATTTTTCAACATCTTTTAAATAAGCAAATCTTTATGTTGAACAAATATCTAAATATTGCTATCAAAATATTTAAACATTTTTATTATAGATATTTTAAAACAGACGTATATGAAAAATAGACGTGGTACCTATAGAGGCAGCAGGTCTTTTGAAAAAATTTTATCCTATTAATTAAAGACTTTTTATCAAAACACTGCCAATAAAACTGCCTTTGATCGGAATATACTCGCTACCATTATACTACTCGCATCCTATTTTCAAACCAGCCGTAAATCACTCACAGAAGCCCCATGGCAATCCTAGTAGACCCAGATTCAATTTTCGGCAATAACCTTACACTATATGGGACCCATCTAAGATCCAGAACAACTCCTGGCCCGAAACCAATTCTCATAATCCCAGCCCAATCTCAGTCAATCCCAGCTGGGACACAGTTTTACTGGTAAAATGGGTACATTCATCTTTCTAATAACACATACCGCATAAAAACCAATAAAATAACTCCATTCCACCTTGTACACTTTTAATAATAGAAGTACTTTAAATCCTAGCTGCGCTATACATTGGTAGTTAAGCTAATCATGACGAAGAATTTTTTATTTTTTTATTTCTTAAATATTTCACTATTCTTAAGAATAGTCCAAGGAATGATCTTTTCTTGGACAATTTTAATACTTGAACTTCTTTTAATCCTATTTACACATTTACAGTTAAGCTAATGACCTCCAATAATTAATAAGGGGGCTATAGCCCCCGAAAGTTGAAAGTGGCGGACACTGGAACGGTCCCCGTATTCGCCAGGCAATTTTTTGAACCTGTTCCAGTGTTCGCCACCCTCAGACTTTTTAAAAAATGAGTTCTTTTTTTTAGTTATTTGGTATTAAAAATATATTTAAACAATTGTTGAATAATATTTTTATGTAATGGAAAATTTTTTTGGTTTCTTCTTTGCCATTTTTGTTGCTGGCAGCAACTTTCTTTTAGCTGGAACACTTGGCTTGTTGCGTTTAGCTAATTCAGCAACTAAGCGCTTCGTTTTTCTCTTCTCTTTTGCTTGTTCTTGTTTTTTTTCAAGCCTAATACCTTCTAGCATCGAGACAACTTTATCTGAAGTCACTACAGATGTGGCATGAAGTTCTTGAGCCACTGTACGAACCTTTCCTATGAAAATTAAAATAATAATCAGGTTATAATAAAGTAAATTTATGACCATAGGCTACATGTGGTAACTTTACAGAGATTAAAAATGGAAATTATAATAATAAATTTAAAATATAGGTAGCCTAGTTAATACACTAACCGATAGCTTTTTTTGGAGAAGGGAACCACTTATGATTTTTAAGAGCCTGCTCTTAAAAATCATAAGTGGTTCTAATCGCAGGTGGTCTTGCTTGTCTTTGAGGTTCTACCAACATAGGCCTAGTCCTGTTTGGAGGGGCTGACATTGAGGAACACTGTGCATCTGAACTAGAATGAATACTAGGTAAATGAACAGGGGAAACAACAAGGGAATCAAGAGCTGGTGCATCCTCTTGCCGATGATTTTGATCAAAGACTTATTGGAACCA